TCGGTGGCCTAGTGGTTAGGCTCTCGGACTCGCAACCGTAAGGTCGTGGATTCGAATCCCGTCAAGGGCCCGACGTTGTGTCCTTGGGAAAGGCACTTTACACGAATTTTCCTCACTTAACCCAGGTGAGAATGGGTACCCGGCTATAGACAGCGAAAGATCTTGTCAGTTTGTTAGTGTTTGAGCGCTTAATCGGCTGCTCGCACTGTATGCTTCCCGGGAAGCTGAGAATGTTTCGGAGTGTACTATGGTCTGCTGGGGTAATAATATAGTGTAAAGCGCATAGAGCCTGCTGTTGAGCGGGGATATGCGCTATACAAATGCTATCTATTATTATTATTATTAATGTTGACAAGTCACAGTGTGTCTGTGTCTGTCTGTCTGTCTGTCTGTCTGTCTGTCTGTCTATCTGTCTGTCTATCTGTCTGTCTGTCTGTCTGTCTGTCTGTCTGTCTGTCTGTCTGTCTGTCTGTCTGTCTACTCTCTTGTAACTCCTCTAACCTTTAGCGCTAATTTGACGAAATTGTGTTTCATACTCTGTAAAACGCTTACTAAAACAAAAAGTTGGCCTATTTGATTACCTCAACTGTGCCAAAGGGGGTATGAAACATTTTCGTGGTTAGTTGGCGGGTGCTTTGGTATGGCTTGCTGCTGCTTTCCTATCAAACATCTATTGTCCCGATCTCTCCTCTTTCTTTTTTGTGTTTTGTTGCTCTCTTGTAACACCTCTAATTTTCGTCACTTATATGACCTTATTGTGTTGCAAGTACTGTAAGACTTTTACTAAAACTAAAGAAACGTTTTCAATCATTTTATTTGCCTATCAGGACGAGATGAACCGGTTCATCCGTGTGCTGGTCCTATGTCACACGGTGCGGGTTGACCGCAAGCAGGAGGCTAATAACGGTCAGAATGGGGCGTCCAGCATCTACAGCGCCACAGGCGAGGAGTATGACTACCAGGCCAGCTCGCCTGATGAGAAGGCTTTGGTGGAGGCTTGTTGCAGGTCAGTCAGTGCTCAGTTGTTATAGACCAGTTGGTGATCAGTTGTAGGACAGTTGTCAGTGGTCATTTGTCACTGGACAGTCAGTGGTCAGTTGTTGTAGGACAGTCAGTGGTCAGTTGTTGCAGGTCAGTCAGTGGTAATTTGTTGTAGGACAGTCAGTGGTGAGTTGTTGTAGGACAGTAGATGGTCATTTGTTGTAGGACAGTTGTTGTAGGACAGTTGTTGATCAGTTGTAGGACAGTCTGTCATCAGCGGTTATTTGTCACAGGACAGTAGATGGTCATTTGTTGTAGGACAGTTGTTGTTGGACAGTTGTTGTAGGATAGTTGTTGATCAGTTGTAGGACAGTCAGTGGTCATTTCTCACTGGACAGTCAGTGGTCAGTTGTTGTAGGACAATCGGTGGTCAGTTGTTGTAGGACAGTTGTTGTAGGACAGTCATTGATCAGTTGTAGGACAGTCAGTGTTCAGTTGTTGTAGGACAGTCAGTGGTCATTTGTCACAGGACAGTCAGTGGTCAGTTGTTGTAGGACAGTCGGTGGTCAGTTGTAGGACAGTCAGTGGTCAGTTGTTGTAGGACTGTCAGTGGTCATTTGTTGCAGGACAATCGGTGGTCAGTTGTTGTAAGACAGTCAGTGGTCATTTGTCACAGGACAGTCGGTGGTCATTTGTTGTAGGATAGTCAGTGGTCAGTTGTTGTAGGACTGTCGGTGGTCAGTTGTAGGACAATCGGTGGTCAGTTGTTGTAGGACAGTCAGTGGTCAATTGTTGTTGGACAGTTTTTGTAGGACAGTTGTAGGACAATTGTGTTGCAAATTAATTAGTTGTTGCTTCTTTCTGTGCTTATTTTGGTGCAAGACGTAGAGAGCTGAAGTTATTTTTAGCTTCCCTCTGTTGATCAGCTAAGCGAGTGGATAAGTGAGATAAGTGAGAGGGAGCATGGTATTGTTTTTGTAGTAAGAGAGACCTAGGTTTCTGGTAGTAATAAGAATAAGTAGACTTAGATTACCCTAAAATGGAAAACTCCAGGGGTCGTTGTGATTGTCTTTTGTATCGTATATATATAACCTATTTTGTAGATGTGTTACACTCACAGTGACATAATACAGAACATTTAGGAGATGGGCTAGGCGTACTTCAACCCAATGTCAGGACCAACCTGGGCTGAGAGGGAACAACGCCCCTGCAGAAAGACGGAGGTTCTCAGTAAAAATTTCTCCCCATACGGGAATCGAACTGAGGTCTTTTGCGTGCGACGATAAAGCGCTTGGCTAGTGCATATTAAAAAATGAACAGGCCTTTGCATCGTAAGAATAGCCGATCCAATATTAATTTCTAACTTCATTGAATAGAGCTTTTTATTTTTTAACAACCCGACTATGAAAAAAACAACAATCTTGCACTTTTGGTGCAAGCCTCTCAAGGCAAATAACCAGAGAATCTTCTATTATGTAATGAGCCCACAGCCACGAGAGTTCGCGGCGTCACGACACAGTACAGCAGGACTGTCCGCGAGTCACAACTCACCGGAGCAAGCGGGAGGCAAAGCTCAAGCCTGCTCGCAAGCCTCTAGCGCAAGCCGTCCGCTGCTTTGCAAGCCTTCGATTAATTGAGCAGAATCCAGCCCTAGTGTTCACCTCTCATTGAATAGGTTCTTAGTTCGAATCCAGATAGCAACGAAAATTTTTCTTGTCTGAAATTGTCTGTGGTCTACTTTCGTCTCCCCTTCCTGCCCCCACCCCCTCACCTCTTTTGCTCCCTCCTCTTGGCTTCTGACTCTTTCTGCAGCCTTTCTGCTGCTACTCCTTGGCTCCTTCTTACTGCTGTCTTTCAACCACACCCCTGATCTTATGGTAGGTAAGATCTACACTTAGCCTTCTCGGTCAAGGGGGAAAAATCTTTGAGGTTGCGTGTGCAATGCACTTTAAAAATCCCTTGTTTGTCAGTAAGAATAGGCTTCGGCGCCACTCGGGCAAAATTCAAAATTTCCTACCAACTGAAAATGTTTGATGTGTCCCGCGTACTCATATGTCCTTATGCAGTTACGAGCGCCGTAAAACGCTTACCAAAAATTTAGATTTAAAGAAATGAATAAAACATGTCGCTTAAATCCTGTAGGCCTATTACAGATTCGGAAGAAGGAAAAATGTGAGGGTGAGAATTCTGAGCAATAGAGGATGCTGGTGAAAAAGAGTTCTGTTTGTCACAGGGTTGATTGGTTTAGGATAATGTACATATTTGGGGGGAAGGGTTACAAGTATTTTCTCCACATTTATTTTTGTTCTCTCTTTCCGAACCTCTAAAGGTATGGCGTTATCTACCATGGGAATAATGACGAAATGATGGAAGTGACCTTCCACAAGGACATGCAGCGATTCAAGTTGCTGCACACTCTGCCCTTTGACCCCACCAGAAAAAGAATGAGTGTCATCATACAAGATGAGAAGGGTGAGTGTAGTTCAGGGCTAGTAAAATTCCTCTGTTGTACGTTTTATTATCTTGACAATCAAATCCTTTATTTAAAACAATTTGTGTGTTGCTCTCTTGAGACAACTGCTTAAACAGTGTGAGCAAGTTTTTATTGTATGTAGTCAATGTGTTACTTATATTTTTTTTAATGAGTACTCCCCATGGTTTACTCGGATGGGACCTTTTGTTTTTATACTTAGAATTGCGCTATTTTTCATGCATTCTTTTGTTTTTTAAATAAATTGTTGTCCGATTAAAAAATGGAAGAACATATTCGCACTTTCAGGAGCCGCACAAATTTTACAAAAGTTGTTGTGGCAGAAGACTATCAGGCAAACAGAAAGCACAGAAAAGGCAGCCTCCGCAGTGTTCTAATTTTTACCCAGACATTCTTTAGGCCTTTTGGTGTTAGTAGGCCTTATTTCAATGGACTCATAGGCTACGTTCCAAAACTGTCTGCATGGTTTGCGTGGACAAGATGATAGACATAAAGAACTGTTTTGTTTTCAGGACACCAAACAAAAAGCAGCAGACATGACAACATCGCTTTATTCAACAGCGACGGGTACTTTCATGAATGTTCCCAAAAATTTGTGGGGGGAGGGTGGGGATGTAAATCACGGAAAGAGTTGTTTGAAATTTTGTCCTTTTCTTTATCTTATTTAATATTTGCATGCCTCGTTTGTCCCCTCAGGAGAAAAAACGTTGTTATGCAAAGGAGCTGAGGTGGCTATACTGGACAGAGTGGCAGTAGGAGATGTTGCCACAACTCAGCGCATGATTGATGAATATGCCAGGGTAATCCCTTTTTTTGTACTGTTTTTGATGGGGTTTCGGGTGTGTTTGTTTCCAGGGGGTTTGTGTTTTTTCTTTGGGGATGGGAGGAAAGTATTTTCAAGCCCTTTTTCGATACGAGGGCTCAAAGTGGATAAGTTTTTCCTTTGGCCTTCATATCCCTTAAATGATGTAAATTGTGTTGATGGGGACATGAGACATCAATAATAATTGTTCCTATAACTTGTCCTATACTTCCTTTTACAATCAAAGATTAACAATCCTTTGACTTATTCATTATTTCCTTTTACTCTTTAACATCAACCATCTTCTTTTTCCCCCCACCCCCCACCCCCATCCACATTGCCCCACCAACCTTAATCATTTTGCCTCTTTACCATCCCTTTCCACCATCCCTTTCCACCGTTTTGTTTCTCCTCTTCTCTCCAGCTGGGCCTGAGGACACTCACTATAGCCCAAAGAACGTTTACAGAAGCAGAGTACGAGACCCTCAATGAATCCCTGGTCAATGCTAAGAGGTCTTTAACCCGACGAGAGGAGCTGGTTAGTTTGTGATGTCTTTTTGTTTCTATTTATGTGTACTGTCATACTTCCTCTTCAGGTGGTTGGCGGGTGCTCTGGTATGGTTTTACTTCTTCTTTCCTATCAATCAAACATCTATTATCCTTATAGCTTCTCCTCCTTTTTCTTTTTGTATTTTACTCTAGTGTTACCTGTCTTATCTTTTGCATTTATATGATAGATAATAATAGATAGCATTTGTATAGCGCATAACCCCACTCGAAAGCAAGCTCTATGCGCTTTACACTATATTATTACCCCAGCAGACCATAGAACACTCCGAAACATTCTCAGCTTCCCCGGAAGTATACAGTGCAAGCTGCGGATTTCGCGCGCTCAAACACTAACAAACTCACAAGATCTTTCACTGTCTATAGCTGGATACCCATTCCCACCTGGGTGAAGTGAGGAAAATTCGTGTAAAGTGCCTTTCCCAAGGACACAACGTCAGGTCCCTGACAGGATTCGAACCCACGACCTTACGGTTGTGAGTCCGAGAGCCTAACCACTAGGCCACCGACGTCACTATATGACCTTATAATGTTGCAAGTGCCATTCAACTCTTACCAAAACTAAATGAACCTGCTCTTCCTCCTGACAACGACAATATTACCTCCAGTACAAAGAACCAAATCTCCCTCCCCCGCCGCCCCCCCCCCTCCTGCTTGTTTTCTCTTTATTGTAATGACACCTCCACCTGTCTATAACCTACACTTTTCTTGACAATGGGTGGCCGGTATTGATAATTGCAACTGTATTTGGCATTTATGACGCGGTGGATTAACTCTTTGAGACTGGGAACCTACAAGAGATTGCTGATTCAAAAGATGCTTGGATAGAATTGACCTTTGTTCTCTTTCTCTAGACTTTGCGAAATACTGAGGATGTTGAAATTTATTCGTATTTTTTCCGTGTACAAATTTATTTGAATTTTGCTTCTGTTGCTTTGTTGTTGTTGTTTTGTTTTTTTGGTTTTGTTGAGCTCTTTCTCTGTCTCTGTCTCTCTCTCTCTCTCTCTCTCTCTCTCTCTCTCTCTCTCTCTCTCTTTCTCTCTCTCTCTCTCTCTCTCTCTCTCTCTCTCTCTCTCTCTCTCTCTTCTGGCGCTGTGGCTTCATAAACGGCCAGCGATGCCGACAGCACGCAGGAACTCAACACTCGCCCGGGGGTCCTTAAAAAGTGCTGAAAGTGGGTTACTGAAACGTCCCAGCAGACGGGATCTAGTTATTGTTAAGGAGGTGGATGGACAGAACATACAGTTTGTCGATTACCTTTTCTTTTCCTTTATGAACATTTTGCTTGTGGAAATTCTTTTCCTTCTTTGTTGTTGTTGGGTTTTTGGGCTTTTTTAAATTTGCTATTTGACACCTAGACTTTTTCGAATCTTATCTTTTTTTTTCTTGTCCTTTCTCCAGGTGTGGGTGTTGACAGGGGATAAAGAAGAGACAGCTGTGAACATCAGTCACTCTGCTGGTCACTTCAACTCGGAGATGACGGAAATGAGACTCACGCAGGTCAACTCGGATGAGCAGTGTGTCGAACAGATCAGGCATTTGTTGCATCTGTGAGTAGGCGAACTGGTGTATGTTTTGTTGAAATACCTATAAATATACATGTGCACTCCTACACTCTGGGTTTTGTTTCAACTCTGTGTGAATATTGAAGGTGGTGTTGCAGGATGAGATGTCGTCTGAACTGACTTTGCAGTTGTCATAGAAATTAAGGCTTCTGTGGTTTCAGTTTTTAAAACAGCTCATTGAAAAGCTAGCATTTCTCAAAATTTGAAAACAATGATCATTTGCTTTTTTAGAAAGTGTACCACTCACAGTTGCTGAAATCATTTTGTCTGTGACCTTATATTCCTGAGAGAAAAAAAATACAGTATCAACCCAGCCTCCTTTAGGGTCTGTATCAATGAACATAAATTTTGTTTTCTTTTAAACCGTTTCCTGGTGATTGCTATAATTGGAAAGGCAGACTGGAAAGTGCCACACCTTGGGCAAGTTCATTTTCTACACAAGGTACTTTTGTTTCACAGGCACCTCTTCTGAAAGAGGATTGTTTTTCTAGTGCAATGCCGGTACTTCTTTTTACAAGTTAAGAGTCTTTTCACAAAAACAAACATTTTGACTGTCCCCCCCCCCCTCCCCCCAGAGCAGTGCTACTAACTGAAGTGCCTTAAGGCCTTTCCCAAAGGGGGGATATTAACATGTTCTTTAACACAGTAGAATTATAACTGGGCTTATTTATCAATGTCATGCTCATACTGTGCCGGAACAACATAAGGGGAACTGCTGCTTTTTCTTTCCTCTTTCTTACTATCATCGTTTTCCTCTACTTCTTTTATATGTTTGTCACTCTCTTGTGAACTGCTATTTCTGAGGTGCAGACTTTGTTCCTTTGAGGCTAGAGAGGTGAGAAGAGTAAACCTGATTCCCCATTTGGACTTCTCTGTTGACATCCACCCCTTGGCACTCATATGACTTTATGCAGTTGCAAGCGCCGTATAACCTTACTAAAACAAACATTTCCACTGCTCTGTGTAAAACTCCATCATACGCCATTTTTCAAAATGGCATTCATCAGTCTGACACTAAGATATTGATTTGTTTTATGAGTGTCTTATTGCAAAACACTAAAATTGTTTGGTTGTTTTCCTTTATGCAATATTTCAGTACAAGTGATGCACATACTGAGGTGGAGAACCCAGCCCTTGTGATAGACGGACAGAGCCTAAGGTTTGCCTTGCAGTACTCAGACCAGCTATTCCAGCTTTGCTCACAGTGTATGGCAGTGCTGTGTTGTCGCATGTCGCCCATACAGAAGGCAAAAGTGAGTTGCTGGAGAGGGGGAGGGAGGGGATATGGGTTGTTTGAAGGACACCATTGTTAGATCCTATGTAGTAATGGCAATGCTATGTTGTCGCTTATCGCCTATAGAGAAGGCAAATGTGAGTTCTTCGAGGAAGTGGGGGGGGGGGGAGGGAGTTGTCAGGGGTGGGACTGGGTTGTTTGGAGGACACCACTGTTAAGTCCTACGTCATTATGGTAGGGTTGTGTTGTTGTATGTCACCCATACAGAAGGCAAAGGTTGGTTGTTTGAGGGGAAGGAGGTCATGGTTGGGTGGGTGGTTTGGTTGAAGGACACAATTGTTAGGTCTTATGTCATTATGGCAGTGCTGTGGTATATCTCTCTTAATTGAAATCCTGGTTAAACAAAGGGAAATCTGAGGATCCTACAGATTTTTTTTGTTTAGACAGACTCCACTGTATTTGTCAACAGTAAATCTGAGACCTTTTGTATCATTTCATGTGACTCTAAAATTGAATACTTGATTGTTTGTTGTTGTTTTTTTGTTGTTTTTTTAGGTGGTTGCTCTCATCAAAAACTCACCGGACAAACCTGTGACGGCAGCGATCGGGGACGGAGCCAATGATGTCAGTATGATACAGGAAGCTGATGTTGGGCTTGGTGAGTGCCATGGCTTGCTTATGTCAGGATATGTTTTTAAGAAATATTTATAATTATAGGTTTAATAGTTGTAATACACAGAGAGTATTTTAAAGAGCATAGTTATTGGCTGTATAAATTTAATTTTTATTACTATGAAATGAAATGAGCACCTTTATTATTTTAGTACCCAGAACTTCCCCCAATGTGTCCTTTGTGTGACTATGCATATGAGACAGTGGAATATCACCTTTTCCACTGTACAGCCCTAAATGACATCAGAGCAACCCTTCTCCCTCCGAGACCTAACTTCGTCAACACACTCTACGTAACCTTACAGCAACTGCAGCAAACCTGCACTTATCACTACATGGCATTGGACAGAAGGACGAGAGCCCAGATGTTGCTGGATCGATTACAACAACAACAACATTATTTTAGTACTGTACAGATGGGAAATGGTGATGCTGTTGCAATGAAATTGAATATACTAGAGAGGTGAACGGTGTCCAAAGTTGTAGTGGACTCTTTGCTGAGAAGATAAGGAAGCCTGTAATGAGACAAAACACACCATTACGGTATTAAAATTTGATCGAGTATACATGTTTTAAAAAAATGCATTTCCCATCTTTGTATCAGTTTCTAGATAGAAATTTTTCTATCTTACTCTCTGTATCCTATTTGAAATATTATTAGAATATAAGATATACCGTGGTAATTTGTTATATCCTTTTTCTTCATGCAGCTATCATGGGCAAGGAAGGCAGGCAAGCTGTCCGTAACAGTGACTACGCCTTTGGCAAGTTCCGTTTTCTACACAGGGTTCTCTTGTTTCACGGGCACCTCTTCTACAACAGGATAGCTGTTCTAGTGCAATACTTTTTTTACAAGGTAAGAGTTTTTTTCACTAAAGTGAGCATGTGTGTCACAACACAGTGGAATCAAGCACTTGTCAGTGTTTAGGCATGTAGAGTTAGTGGAATCATCTTAAAGCTTCATTTGTCTTGCTTTTGATGAAAAAAGTACCCATCTATCTTGAGTAGTGGTTGAGATATTTGCGACTTGGGGGGTCGCCTGTTGTCGGAGGTAAGATTAGCAAGAAAATTTCCGCCAAAGTTTGATCACTTCCAAAGCATAGGGGTTCTTGGAAACTATAAATTTACATTTTTTTGCCTTCCGTCAATGATTTTCAGTAATATACACACAGAAATGTTCACACTGAATTGGACCTAGAAGGTGTTGAGCTAAAAAAAACACAATTTAGATAAAAATTACCCAACCAGCGGAACAGTGTAAATTTCTTTACTTTCGTTATTTTGAAGAGCGCATGATTCTACCTTGCTGCCTCCCATATTATTATAATCGGAAAATGTTGAGTTGGCACATGCACACTTCCTTTGAGTACGAAAAGTTCGGGATTTTTTTTTTTATCCAGTTGGCATTTCTGTAAGACAGGTTGTTGTTGTTGTTGTTATCGATCGAGCAACAGCTGGGCTCTCACCCTTCTGTCCAATGCCATGTAGTGATAAGTGCAGGTCTGCTGCAGTTACTGTAATGTTCCATAGAGTGTGTTGTCTATGTTAGGTCTCGGAGGGAGAAGGGTAGCTCTGATGTCATTTAGGGCTGTGCAGTGGAACAGGTGATGCTCCACAGTCTCATATGCATAGTCACACAAGGGACACATTGGGGGAAGTTCCGGGTTTATTCTGTTCAGGTGGAAGTTGAGCTGTATATGTTCTGTTCGTAGGCGGAAGATCGTGGTCTGTTTCTTTCTCTGAAGGCGGTTGATATTGTCATACCTTTTTGTTGTGGTCATATGTTTGAAAACTGCTCTGCCTGTCTTTCCCAGGGCCCATCTGTTCATCCAATCTTGTTTGTTGTTGCTTTTGATGATTTGTTTTGCAGTGTTGTATGAAGTTGGAGTGTTGGGTTGTTCCTGTCTAGATCCTCGTTTGGCAAGTGTGTCTGCTCTCTGTAAGACAAGAACTAATTCTAGTTTGATGGTCTTTTTATTTCCTTCACAGAATGTAGCGTTTGTGACCTCCCAGCTTTTGTACGCCATATTCAGCTACTTTTCACAACAGGTGAGAACATTTCCTCTTAAAGCTTTTTTTGAGATTTTCCCATTGATTTAATAATAATAATAATGATAGATAGCACTTGTATAGCGCATATCCCCGCTCAACAGCAGGCTCTATGCGCTTTACACTATTTATTACCCCAGCAGACCATAGAACACTCCGAAACATTCTCAGCTTCCCGGGAAGCATACAGTGCAAGCAGCCGTTTAAGCGCTCAAACACTAACAAACTGACAAGATCTTTCGCTGTCTATAGCCGGGTACCCATTCCCACCTGGGTGAATGAGGAAATTCGTGTAAAGTGCCTTTCCCAAGGACACAACGTCGGGCCCTTGACGGGATTCGAACCCACAGCCTTACGGTTGTGAGTCCGAGAGCCTAACCACTAGGCCACCGACGATTTCTTTGGTGTTATTACAATTGTTGTCTTTGTTTTTGGCAGACAATTTAGTTTTTGGAAGGATGGTTTCTCTAGCTCAGGAGTCTTAAACTCAAACTACTTGGGGGGTTATTGGGGGTAAAGTGTAGGTGAACCTGGGCTGTAACAAATATTCCACGTTCACTGGTTGAATGAGCAGTGGGTTCAGACTAAAAAATAATGTAAAGCAAGTGTCAGCGACTCAAGGTGTGAATGTTGGTGTGTCCTTGAATAAGTCGTCATAACCCAAGCTTTTTGCGGAATATTTCTCAGGGCCCAGGTTCACCTAGACTCTATCCCCAACAGCTCCGGGGTAATTTGAATTTGAGTCCCCTGGTTTAAATGTATACAGATAGTGTCCCAATAATTTCACTTTTGCTTTAAAATAAACCGTTATTGTCCAGATTCTTGTTCTTTTGCTTATTCTCTGGAATATGTTCTAACAAGCTTTGTTTGGCTTTGTCCTCAGTCGTTGTTCGATCCATTTTATCTGCTGTTCTACAACCTGACCTTCACCTCTCTACCCATCCTTATCTATGGCTTGTTTGAACAACACAAGCCGCAGGAGGATCTACTGGGAAAGCCTCATTTGTACAAGTATGAATAACATCTTCTTTGTTTGTTTTTTAATTAAATTTTTTTCTTCTTCATCTTTGCTGTATGTATGTTTGCATAAAAAATCATGCCAGAGTTATTGGTCTTTTTGTTTGGTTTCAAAATGATCCTGATTTAATCTTTATGTAAAAGTCTTGAAAGAGAGAACCATGTGTGAAACATGTTGAATGTTCTGTAATTCTCTAAGTGGTTTAAGGGTTGTCTCAGTACGTTTATCTAAAAGCTCTATATTTTTGGTAATATCATACCTCAAAAGTCTTTTCCTTTGAAGCCATCTTTTGTTTTTTTCTTATTTTTTTTCTTTGGGTGGGGGGGGGGGGGGGGGGGGGCTTATATTTATAATGCAGTTGGTTTGAAAAATTGAATAAAATCAATTTTGCTAGATGTTTTTTCTTTTAATTCTTGAGCTATTGAACAGAATAAATTCAAGTGATTCCGTTGTTATGCATATTTTTTTTTTCCTGTTTGTTTCTTATCTTTTATAGCCCGCATTCATTGCCATTTTGGACTCTATGTAAGGCACTGCTCCACTAACATTACTATTGTCTGCATTTCCTACTTAAGAAATGTTTCATATTGATGCTATATACATGAAAGCATATAAATTTGAAAAGAATTTTGATAAATCAGTAAACACATTTAAGTTGTGTAACTCGAAAAAAGAAAAAAAACCCAGCAGATCCAAATACAGTCAAACCTGCTTTAACACTTTGCAGCCACAAGGCTCATATAGTAAAAACCCTTGCATTGAAAGGCAAAGGTATTTTGGGGAAAATCCAAAGAAACTGGGTGGTAAACATCGTCGTTCTCTGTTTTACAGGTATAAATGATAGTGCACCTTTTTATCTTAAAACATTCCTGGAATTATATAATCCACCTAGAGCCCTTAGATCAGCCTCTGACAATCTAATTCTTAAAACTCCAAAATAAAACTACAAAACATACGGCGAGCGTTCTTTTTTGTTCTTTGGTCCCCAGGTATGGAACGAAATCCCATATAAAATAAGATCTGCCCCAACAATTTCCATTTTCAAAAATCAGCTGAAGCATTTTTTATTCACAAAAGCATACCTGTCATAATGATGTACTGTGATATATATGCATGTGTATGCCAGACTGTGAGACTGGAGAAATAGCGAGTGAGAATGAGAGAGAGAAAAAGAGAGAGATAGAGAGAGAAAAGAGAGAGATAGCGAGAGAGGGAGAGAGAAAGAGAGAGAGAGAGAGATAGAGGGAGAGAGAGAGAGACAGACAGAGAGAGAGAGAGAGAGAGATAGAACGAAAATGTTTTTCTATCTGTATAGAATTAATGTTTTAATGAATGTTTCTAGTTACTCACGTTTCAACTGTATTTTGACTGTTCGTGAATTTATATTGCATTGTATATTTTTAGTGAACACATTTTCAACCTCACTACGAGACTGTTTTTCTGGTATAAAATTTTACACATATGCATTTATATTATATGTATAATACTTTGTTTTACGTACACATTTGTGTCGATTAATTTTTAAGATGTGATGTCTTTTTCATTGTAATGCGCATTGAGCATCTTTTAGGAAATGGAAATGCGCAGTATAAATGCTATTTATTATTATTATTATTGTCCATCGGCGAGAAGAGGCGGCAAAGTGTTAACTGCCACCTGTTCAAGACAGTCACTTAAACAAATGACCACTTCCGACTTCCTTCCTCGCATCCTTTTTGTAATATTATAAAGACACTTTTTGAGATGCCCGTCTGTCTAAGATAATCAGTTTTCTCTTAGACTGTGGGTGACCGTCTTTAAGACATAATTTAAATGTTTACCCTTATTTTGTTTCAGAACTGTCACCAGAAATGCCTTATTGTCATGGCCTGAGTTCCTCAAGTGGAATGCTTTAGGTATGTATCCATTCACTTTGATGCCTGGTTTCATTTTTTTTTTAAGTGTCAGAACAAGTTTGGGATTGTGTTTTATTTTTCTTTTGTTTTGCCAGTTATTGGTTTGAAGGAGGAGAGGGTGGAGAGAGATTTTTTTTTTAATTCTAAATCTTTTTTAAAAAATATGTACTAGTTTTAGATGATTGTTGAAGCTTGATAGATACATCGATATGATAGATGTTTGGTTTGGAGATATGATAGATGTTTGTTTTGGAGATATGATAGATGTTTGTTTTGGAGATATGATAGATGTTTGTTTTGGAGATATGATAGATGTTTGTTTTGGAGATATGATAGATGTTTGTTTTGGAGATATGATAGATGTTTGTTTTGGAGATATGATAGATGTTTGTTTTGGAGATATGATAGATGTTTGTTTTGGAGATATGATAGATGTTTGTTTTGGATTTTTTTTCATGTTTTGTATTCGGAATAATCATGTATTTTACCATTTATTATTCACTATGGGCTGATGAATGTCAGTGGCTAGCCATCTGCTCTCATGGGAGTTGGAGCCTTCACCTCTAAAACGATCGTGTACATTACTTCACTCACCCTCGTAAAAGTGCGCTCATATGACCTTATGCAGTTGAGAGCGCCGTAAAACACATACCGAAACCGAAACACTTGTGAATTGGAGAAACTGTTTTTGTGTAGACTCAGTTTCTAGTGGGAATTACAGCTGTTTTCAGAAAGTTTGCTATGTGCTTGACATAAGATGTTCTACATATTATTAAAGATTTACTTATGTCTAGCCATGTTTATACTTCTTTCTTATTAAACATTTATCGTCCTTTTCTCTCTTCCTTCTTTTTTGTGTTTGCTATTCTCTTGTAATACCTTTAATCTTCAGCACTTATATGACCTAATTGTGTTGCAAGTACCGTAAAATAAAACTAACAGCAGTAAGAGGGAGGGAGAGAAAGTTGCTCTCCTTTCAAAAATGCCTTTAATTGAATGTTTTGTTTTCTTCTTTCTGTCCTTTCACTCAGGTTTATGGCATTGCCTTGTATTTTTCTTTGGCTACATGTTTCTTATATGGGATGATGTGTCAATCTTCAGTACAGGAAAGGTGAGTAACTACGTATCTTAATCTCTCTTCGCAGTGAGTTATAAGTATCCTTACCATGGATTTCTACCTTCTTTCAGGCTTATCATGCATTGTGAACTTTTCCAGCTGTTTTTTGTTTTTTTTGTTGTCTCTGATTACTGCTCTATAAATTTGGAAGCAATGTATTTTTTGTTATCTCCCTTTGTCAATAAAAATTGGGTAGACCAGTTCAGTGGTCACTTAATAATAATAATAATAGATAGCATTTGTATAGCGCATATCCCCGCTCAACAGCAGGCTCTATGCGCTTTACACTATATTATTACCCCAGCAGACCATAGAACACTCCGAAACATTCTCAGCTTCCCGGGAAGCATACAGTGCGAGCAGCCGATTAAGCGCTCAAACACTAACAAACTGACAAGATCTTTCGCTGTCTATAGCCAGGTACCCATTCCCACCTGGGTGAATGAGGAAAATTCGTGTAAAGTGCCTTTCCCAAGGACACAACGTCGAGCCCTTGACCTTACGGTTGCGAGTCCGAGAGCCTAACCACTAGGCCACTGACGCCACTTAGCTCCTTTTCAGGGATACTCTTCTCTCACAGGCTTCTTTTTCCTCTTCTTTTTCTTCCTCATACCCCTGCTGTAGCCCAGTAGATAACTTACTCTAAGATCTTCACCTCACAATTTTTACAGGCAAAAACGTGGCTTTTCTGACTCTGAGTCTTTGGGGAGATTGTAATGTGCCTAACTGTAGCCAGTCAATAGGTTTAAGGTTACGGAACTTAGTGATGGGTTAATGTTGTTACAAGATAAGATGAACAAGTCATACTCCAGAGCTTGACGTCTTTATTGGACAGAAATGTGTAACAAGTTCAAGTTGTAACCAATGACTGACAATGATGCTTAGATGAACGGATACTGGAGTCAGCAGTGTTACATGAACACACTGAGCAAGTGGGTGGTTGGCGGTTGCTCTGGTGTGGTTTGCTTCTTCTTTCCTATCAAACATCTATTGTCCTTATCTCCCCTTCTTCTTTTTTATGTGTGTTACTCTCTTGTAACACATCTAATCTTCTGGCGCGCATATGACCTTATGCATTTGCGAGCACCGTAAAACCTCTACTAAAACAAAACAAAAACAATGAACAACACTCACAGATGCCTTGACAGACGAGACAGCAAGTGAACAGAGACACTCGATTAAGAGAAGTACTACGACAAATGTTTCACTATTTTACTAAAATTTATTATGTTCCTGTCTAAATGTTGTTGCAATCTTTGGGGCTTTCCGTGAACAGTGATCAATCCTTTTATTTTATTTTCCTGTCTAAATGTTGCTGCGATTTTGGGAACTTATCGTAAATTTAATCAAACCCAGCTTCTTTATTTTTGAATGCATCAAAAGTTGGCGAGTGCCACTGGTAAGTTTTGTTTTATTTTGTTTTGTTTTTTGTTTTGTCTCTGTAATTGTAATTATGCATTATTGTGGTGTTCACCCAGCACTATAGGTTTATCATTATGCTGGTGGATTTCTGGTCAGTACAAACAGTCAGCCACTGTGCTGCAGGTAGCTTGGTAAACTTGGCCTGGGCATGGAAGTTTGGGGTTCGAATTCATGTGGGATCAAAGTACAGATGTTTGTATCCTCCTTGATAAATATTTTTTTATGGCCAGTGACCTTATGGAGGGTCACGTTCTCAACTTTTGAAATGACTGAAGTTGTTCTTACAAAGTATACACAGTACACAATGCTCGACTCAAGAATTTCACAGCAGAGGTTCAATTGTAATGATGGAAGTGGAAAATAAGGAATGTATAAGTGTACTCCTCCAAGTGCATGCATTGTAATCTCTCTGTTAATGGTCCGTGATGTCTGCACCTTTAGAGTTGAGGCTGTTGTTGTTCACATTTGTGTGGTGCGTTGGTTGTCTTTGGCTCACCTCTTCATTATGTTGCCCTTTCATTTAGTCTGTCTCGTTTGTTAGTAGTTGCACGGTTATGACTTGTTAATTAGCTGGGCCATCAGTCTTATATTTTAGAATAGTATGCTCGTAGTTGGTGGTGTATTATTGGTGATGCTGGTTTCGATGAATTATTGTTCAGTTGCCTTTGTTCACCTCACCGCTGCTGAGTGATTTGGACAAGACAAGAGGATAATCAGTCTTACCTGTTCAAGACGAACGTCCATTGTTGAGGAGAAAATTGCTTGTCTTTGACAGATCGACATCTTGGAAGCGCCTGGTTAGGCCTGATACAGACATGGTTAACCTTTATAGATAATGATCTGAATTGTGTCGGAGGGGGTAAAAATTAAAACACCTGCAGTTACAAAAAAAAGCACTAAAAAAAGTGAGCAAACGAAACAAATCAAAACAGAAAAAGCGCTGGTCGTGGACTCATGGTGCTGGTTTGAATTGTGTTTCTTTCTTTGCATCGAAGCTGTGGGAATGCAAAAAACAGAAACTAAGTATTATCTCTCGAGTGGTACGATCGAGTCACCTAATGCTCAACTGTGGGAGAGAACAAGCCAAAGGCCAATAAAGGAAGACGTACAGGTGAAGAAATGGAAATGGATTGGACACACCCTGAGGGGACCCCCGTCAAGCATCATCATCAGGCAGGCTTTAACATGGAACCCACAAGGAAAACGAAAGAAGGGAAGGCCAAAGATGACATGGAGACGAGCGGTACAAGCTGAAATTGAAAAAGCGGAGACATCATGGAAACAGATAGAAAAGGATGCTCAGGACAGGCTTCACTGGAGTAATACTGTTGATGGCCTGTGCTCCACTGGGAATTAAAAAAGGGCAAGAGAGAGAAGTATTATCTCTCATCTACCTTTGTTGAATGTGATTTGTTCTGTCCTCTCTGGTTTTGATTATAATTTTTGTTGGTTGAATTTTACATATATTATTATTCCCCAAGGTCTCTATAGTTCTACTAGTTGTCCCATTCATTTCAGTTTGATTTTTTGGGGTTTTTATATCATTTTTTGGTTTTATCGGTTTGTCTCTGTCTTTTGGAGTTGGTGCTGAGAGGTGACAAGATTTGGGGTCAGGATTTTTTTTGTAAGGACTTAGTTTTGGTTTTATCGGTTTGTCTCTGTCTTTTGGAGTTGGTGCTGAGAGGTGACAAGATTTGGGGTCAGGATTTTTTTTGTAAGGACTTAGTTAGATTTTTGGGGAATTCATTTCATTTGGGTTGGGTTTTTTTTGGCCATTTTCTTCTTTGCGTTCTTTTTCTCTGCGCTCTTCTTCTGCTCCTCCACCTCTTTCTGGCTTTTCTCCTTCTTTGCTTTTCCAGTAGTTTAGTATTGCTTCTAAGGTCTTTATGCAATAAAACAACCATTCTCTTGCATTTTGTGAATATGGAAATTGGGATGCTCAACTTGTGATGGACTTTTTTGTGCAAATATGAATACTTCAATGAAATTATTAAGTCTCATGACTTCTTTCGTTTGCTTATCCTCTAGAAAAAAATAATAATAGATACTCTTAGGAGACTTGGTCCTGTGAGTACAATATTGGATTTCTATGCACACTTCTTTTTTCTGCCAGTACATTTTGCTCTCTCTTTACTGTGTTTATTATTATCTGTCTTTGTTCCTTCCATATACTTTCCTCTCCCCTCTATGTCAAGCTGTCTACCCTTGAAAAAATTCACTAATAATAATTGGTAGGTAGTTTATACGAGTACAAAAACAGTTTTTAAAAATATTTTCGTTTCATTTTAGTCGCTCATTGTCTTTGAATCATTCATCTCTCTCTGTCTGTCTGTCTGTCTATCTCTCTCTCTCTCTCTCTCTCTCTCTCTCTCTCTCTCTCTCTCTCTCTCTCTCTCTCTCTATCTCTCTCTCTCTCACTCTCTCTCACTCTCTCACACACACTCTCTCTCTCTCTCTCTCTCTCTCTCTCTCTCTCTCTCTCTCTCTCTCTCTCTCTCTCTCTCTCTCTCTCTCTCTCTCTCTCTCTCTCCTTATAAAGTTTGAGACATGCTTGTCAAAATTGTTGCACACCATTCTACTTTTCAGATAATTGGCAATTTTGGCTTCGGTTCCCTCGTGTACTTTACCTGTGTGACCACAGTGAATCTGAAGGTAAAGAAAGGCTTACTTATATATCAGGTGTTATCCAACTGATTTTTAGAACAGAACAGTAGCCAGGTGAAATTCAATGATTTATCGCAAATTATTCTGCAGTTGGTTGGAGTGCACCGCTGCTAGGTCCTACTTCTTTTCTTTCCCCCAGTTGTTTCTGACTCTCTGTCTTTCTTTTCCCCTTTACTACACGACTTGTAATGTGTTAAAGTGCTCTTCTTTCCTCAAGCAAGCAAGCAAGCAAAGCAAGCAAAGCAAGCAAGCAAGCAAAACAAGCAAAGCAAGCAAATTATTGTAAATGCTTCAAGATAGATCTAATAATTTCCATCCCAAATAGACCCCCCCTTTTCGTGGTGGGGGGGGGGGGGATTAGTACTCTTCGAATAGGAAAAGAAAAAGATGAAGCTAACGGGTCAAGGGGTGACCCCCGAAAAGAGACATATTACTTTACTATGTTTCTTACTCTTTCTATTTATTGTTTTTATTATTTTACTTTATTATATTTATTACTTTTCTTTTCTCCTCTCTCCATCGACAACCTTGAGTCTTTCTCTTCTTTATCTTCTCAATTTTTATTGTTGTTATTACTGTTGTTATTATTATCATTATTATTATTATTATTATTATTATTATTATTATTATTATTAAGCCACTGTTGTTATTATTATTATTATCCCCATAACTGCCTGGCCTGACAGTTGATGTTGGAGACGAACTTCTGGTGCCTACCCATGGTGTTGTCTTACCTCTTCACTTTTGCTGGCATCATCGTCCTTACTTCCATCTATGTCAACTTCTGGTGGCCGTAAGTTATACATGGGTCAAAGGTCACTGATCTCTACAGGGGTGGGTTGGGTTTTTTTTAAGTTAAAGTTGTATAGAGAGAGAGGTAAAGTGACTGTTACTTTCTATCTGAAGTTGTTGTGATACAATGCGCTCACAAAGAAAAAAAGTATGGTATCTATTTTTTCTTGTTCTTCTTCTTCTTCTCAATCGCATTAGACTTAAAGTCTGGTATCTGTCATAAATTGGGCCATCCTGGTATCTCTTTTTGACTTGACCAATTTTAGAAACATGGATTTGGAGGACTGAATGGAAATTTGTATTCAAGTAGGGGAGGTTAAAAAAAACCCGCTCTTTTTCGTTCTGGTGGAAAGGAGTAAACAGGAATGACACAAAGCGTGTTGCTTTGGCCGATAGGAGTAAGGTCAACTTCATGACTTGAATAAACAATGGGTTCCCAAAACTAAAAACTTTTACAAACAGACAAAGACAATTATGTTGGAGATTAATTGTAAAACGCAGATCATGATCTAGAAATGCCATCTTGATAGTTAGCTCTTCTTAAGCATAGTACCCTCATTTTTTAATGTGATGCGCGCGTGTGGTCATCGATTGCCCTGTAATAGTATGAGTGTCTGCTTATTTAAGAGTGTATGTCTGTCGCAGATCTGACACTGGATGATGATGATGTATGCATGTTCATGTGTTTGTGTTAGGAGGAAGGTATTTTAAAGCATTTAGTGCTGTATTGTAACGGGAATGGGCACTTTAGAAATTATCTGCATTTTTATTTTCTTATTATTATTATTGTTATTAATATTATTATTATTGTTGGTGTTATTTCCATAATCAATATTATTATGGTTCATCGTTAACATCATCAATATTGATAATATCAATATTATTATGGTTCATCATCATTATTACCATCGTTATCATTGTAAATAGCAGGGAATAATAAAGGGTTGAGACTTGTAGATTTTTCAAATTTAATACTGGTTCAACGTTTCGCCCGGTAAAGGACTGTTATTGTCAATATTAGTGTTATTATTATTATTATGATTATTGTGATGACTGCCTCAAAAAATCTTTATATCCGGCCCTTTTTTACCTTCTCCTGTCCAGGTCGTGGGTGACGGAGACACACGACATTTACAAGCTGTTAGACCAGCTGTACGACACACCCACCGCTTGGCTTGCGTTCCTTCTCTTTATCGTACTTGCTCTCCTGCCCGACTTTGTCCTCAAGATACTCCGGGACATGAGAAGTGGAGCCAATGAGAAGGAGGGAAGCAGCAGCAGTACTGGTGGTGGTGATTCAAGCAGTAAAAGTGTGGTGAGTGAGTGGTGGGGGAAGGTTTTCTTTATAGTATGCAACTTTAAATTCTGCTGCGGTTGTTTTCATCCCCTGTATTAAACAGTGATACCTTACTCTTTAGAAGGGGCAGTCTGGTTTTGTTTTGTTTTTTTATTGTGTGTTTTTTGTGTTTTTTTTCGTAGGTGGGATTATCTTTCAGAAGACATTTTCATGGGATTTGTAGTTAATAATTAACTTAGTTTTATTTTTTTATTTTGTTGAAAAAGGGGCTTATAGGCAGTTCACTTTAGTGGAAGGTGGGCAATATTTACTGAAATATCTGTGATTCCAGGAAAATGGAATATTCTAGAATTTCACTTTATTTTGTGACAGTTCACCCCCCCCCCCCTCCTTTTTTTCTTCTTTGAATATCGTTTGGTTTTACTGATTATCCAGGAAGTGAGAGTTGAAACACATGACCTAATAGGTTTGTGTATTGTATTCAAAGTCTTATTTAGTGCCATTCCTTTATGGCATGTCAAGGCATAAAAGAAAGATGTGTCTTCTTTTTTTCTTTTTTTTTTTTTTTTTGCAGCGTTAAATTTTGTGTGTCACTTAAGTGTGCCATGTTTTACAATACGTGTATTCAGAAATTTGCAATGCATCTATTCTCACTTTGTGATGTACTGATGTATTGTATCTTCCTTCGTTTCTGCTTTTTCCGAAGGCTTTCATATAATGAATGATGCTAGCAATGTATCCATTATCCACAAATGAGCTCTGTGGCATAAAGTCAAGCCAGCCGTGATGAATCCGCTGTTCACTTTGTGAGTTATTCTTGATGAGCACGGCATTCTCCCCCTTCATAAATGAGAGGTGATGCAGCTTGGAAACTGCATGCTTTGAGATCTGGCTGCGAGCAAAAATTATACCTGGCTTTACTCCAATTGTTTGTTGCCCATAGTGTAAAAACCTCCCATACCACACTACAGGAAAGCATTTCGTCACGAATAAAGCATAGCTGACAATTATACAAAGGTAGAGGAAAAGTATCTTTTGTAAAGTCTTGTTTTGAATTGAAGTCTGACAAATATAAATTTATCTTGTCCTTTACGTATTTAGTTTCTTACATGCATCGCATAATAGAACAGTGTCTTATCAAAAGTTTCCCCTTTTTCTAAAGATTTTTTTAAAACATTGCTTGAACTTGAACTAAATTTTCAATAAACAAACTTTTCATTTCTGTGCTACAGTAGTTGCAACTCTTTTGTTGCAGTTTTATTTGACAACTAAAAACTGTATAGCAGATTATACAGCTTTGGCGTAGAGCAAATTTTTTCATGAGAAATCAGCGCTTTTTAAAAAAAATTGTTTTTCAGTCTTTTGATAATTGTACCTGAAGTTTGAATGAAGTCAGACTGATTAATCTGAACCTGAAATTCTTTGAAAATCTATGAAAGATATTATCTTTCCCAGCTCTAGAAGCATGGTGGCAGTGGTCAAGAGTGTTACTTAAAGTTGGGGTTTTTTGTCGCTTTTTTTTTAAAATAAAGTGTTTATATATAGCGAGGCGGAGAAGGTTAAGTCACTAAAGCAATATAAATGGTCTCACTGTACACCCTTGGTGTTGGCTACCTACTTACTGTGGTTTATTGTTGTGAAGGTGATTGCACCTGGTGTGGTGATGGTTGTAGCAGACAGATATTGTTTCATTCTATTTTTATGAGATTCCCAATTATCCTTAATGATAAATAGCATTTGTATAGCGCATATCCCCGCTCAACAGCAGGCTCTATGCGCTTTACACTATAATATTATTACCCCAGCAGACCATAGAACACTCCGAAACATTCTCAGCTTCCCGGGAAGTATACAGTGCAAGCAGCTGATTAAGCGCTCAAACACTAACAAACAGACAAGATCTTTCGCTGTCTATAGCCGGGTACCCATTCCCACCTGGGTGAAATGAGGAAAATTCGTGTAAAGTGCCTTTCCTAAGGACACAACGTCAGGCCCTTGACGGGATTCGAACCCATGACCTTACGGTTGCGAGTCCGAGAGCCTAACCACTAGGCCACCGACGAAGTGGGTTGTTTTTCCCTGGCGTCATACATATTTCACTAGCCTCTTTCTGAGTGTTCTGGAAGAAGCCGGCCATTACTGGTATTCTCATCATTAACTCTTTCTATGCCAACCCACAATGTGTCGTTGATATGGTATTATCTCCCTGGCAAAGTGGACAAGTTTGTCTTGTTGCTCAGACTTGTTCTGTGTTCATTTTCTGTGTGAAACTGTCTTCTTGTCTTCTTGATGTCTTTACAAGTAATTCTTTCGTCTCCATTTTGTCATTGAATGTCTAATTTATATCACAAAAAGTGTGATAAATGGACAGGTCCATTACCACATTCAACCCGCAATAGTAGTGACACACTGGTCTGACACATAAGTGGAAATTGTTCTGACATGAACAGAGAGGGGGTTAGTGGTTGGGTTTGGGGTATTTTTTAGATCTTCTTCTGTATGGAGGGTGGGGGGGTGCAGAATAGCCTTTGCCTTTCCCAAAAGGGATAGGCTTTGCAATTATAACTCTACACTCTACGTTCCAAATCCTCAAAATGCCTGTATTCATAATGTGTGCTGATCTCCTTTTCCCTTTCTTCTTTGAAAAATGGACTGTTGTGTCCTTGTCATTTGTTCTTTATCTCTCAATCATACCTTTCGAAGGAAAAATTTGTTTTTCAGTGCTGTCACCACCGGGAGTCAAACAGTTAGAAGATGAAAAACAGATTATGTATGTGTGACATCAGAGAATGTGTTTACTCAAAGTAACCTCCCTTATTTTTCAGTTTGAGAAAGCACTGCCTTCGTCTGTTCCCTACAAGCATTTCGTTAATCGTGACTGACACGATCAGATCTACAACGAACAAAAAATTCAAACAGAACTGGGTAAAAGGAATGGCATTATGTGATGATTTATGTCCTCCTGCCACGTTTGCCTTACCCTTCCAGGCCCACTTTTTTTTTTTTTTTTTTTTTTTTTAAAGTTTTTTTTAAAATTCAGCACCGCAAATCTTGCTGCATATTGGCCAGTACGTTTTATAACACAAGTATTAATTCAAGTTAACATTTAGAAACAAACCTCGCAAAAGATGTAAATGCTTGTGAGCATGGTATAAATGCCTGCATTAGTTCATTCGGTGTGTTTTCACATCTCAACGTACCTCTTAAATTGTATTAGATATAAATGTTAGTCAGGTAATACTAGGGTTTATTTTTATTCAGAGATTTTTTTAGATCTTTGTTAGTAGTGTGGTAAATAGGCTTTCTTTGATCTGAAGGTTTCACTTATCAAATTCCAAATTGTCTTCAAGGACATCTTATACTTATACTCCTACTCAAACTTGTGAAAGTTTACCTAAGCTTTACCTCACTCTAGGAGCGTCAACATATGGGGTCCTTTGTGTTATGTGAGAATGTGCGTGAAGTGTTAATGAGAAATTTGCTGCCTCACCTATGATTTTGAGAAAAAGTGCATGCTACCACCGGTGCCTCTGACCACTGCATGATAAAGATAATGTGTAGGTTATTCTCACATCAACTCCTATGCAATAAACACACGCATGCGTCTTGTCCATTATACAGTTTTGTTTCACATAGTTGGTAAATATTAACTCTTTCCACTTGCAATTATTTTATGACTCATACGTAACATATTGTGGGGCAAGCAACGTGGAAAGAGTTAAAATTTATGCTATTTCGTTTATATTACTATTATTTATGCCTAACCACTTTTTTTGTCCAAAAGTCAGAATTTCAAGACGCATTTTACCGATCTTTTTTTTTTTTACATCGTACACGTCGTGTAGATACTTTTGCTTTTTCCACTTATCATTCATTTCATGACACAATACTTTGTCTTCATAGTGGACAAGTTAAACTCTGGAAAAAAATGTACAAGTCGAGTGATGATAGATTGTTGGTTTTGAGGTGATGGGTGTTTGCTTGGCTTTTTTATCCGATACATGTCAATTTTTTTTTTCTTTGTAAGTGTGACAAAAGTTGCCTCGTGTGTCTTGTATTGATGATGTTCTCATGAAATACAACACAATGTTTAATCATTTTGAATGATTGAGATCCACAGCAAGAACCTTGATTCCAAGAATATTTTGGACAGTAACTCTTTTCTGGGGAAAATTATTGTCATTGATTTTATCATTAATTTTTTCCAAAGAAAAAGAATTTCATAGTATTATGCTAAAATCAGTCGGCTCACATGTTGGGCTTGTGTCCTGGTTTCGTGACAAATAATTTAGGATGGTAGTATAATTGTCTGGTTTCAAATTTGACCAGTGCTATAGATTGGGTGGTTGGCAGGTGCTCTGGTGTCTTTTTCCCCTTTTTTGAAGTGCCAGTTTTTATCCTTATGAAGCACTTTACTTTGTCAGAATCAGAAAATGAGTACTTGTAAATATTTCACACAGCTCAAAAACAAGTATTTTTCTTGAAATATTCGTAAGATATCCTGTCTTTCAGCCAGCTTTGTTGGTTAATTATAAGCTGTCAACTCTCTGTCTAGTATGCTGGTGGTTATTGATGGTTGGTGGGTGCTATGGTGGGGTTCGCTCCTTCTTTCCAATTCAACATCTATCGTCCTTATCTCTCCTCCTTCTTTTTTGCTTATGTTGCTCTCTTGTAACACCTCTAATCTTTAACACTTATATGACCTAATGCAGTTGTGAGCGCCGTAAAACCTCTACTAAAACAAACAAAAACAAAACAATGAACAACACTCACAGATGCCTTGACAGACGAGACAGCAAGTGAACAGAGACACTTGATTAAGAGAAGTACTACGACAAATGTTTCACTATTTTACTAAAATTTATTATGTTCCTGTCTAAATGTTGTTGCAATCTTTGGGGCTTTCCGTGAACAGTGATCAATCCTTTTCTTTTATTTTCCTGTCTAAATGTTGCTGCGATTTTGGGAACTTATCGTAAATTTAATCAAACCCAGCTTCTTTATTTTTGAATGCATCAAAAGTTGGCGAGTGCCACTGGTAAGTTTTGTTTTATTTTGTTTTGTTTTTTGTTTTGTCTCTGTAATTGTAATTATGCATTATTGTGGTGTTCACCCAGCACTATAGGTTTATCATTATGCTGGTGGATTTCTGGTCAGTACAAACAGTCAGCCACTGTGCTGCAGGTAGCTTGGTAAACTTGGCCTGGGCATGGAAGTTTGGGGTTCGAATTCATGTGGGATCAAAGTACAGATGTTTTGTATCCTCCTTGATAAATATTTTTTTATGGCCAGTGTCCTTATGGAGGGTCACGTTCTCAACTTTTGAAATGACTGAAGTTGTTCTTACAAAGTATACACAGTACACAATGCTCGACTCAAGAATTTCACAGCAGAGGTTCGATTGTAATGATGGAAGTGGAAAATAAGGAATGTATAAGTGTACTCCTCCAAGTGCATGCATTGTAATCTCTCTGTTAATGGTCCGTGATGTCTGCACTTTTAGAGTTGAGGCTGTTGTTGTTCACATTTGTGTGGTGCGTTGGTTGTCTTTGGCTCACCTCTTCATTATGTTGCCCTTTCATTTCGTCTGTCTCGTTTGTTAGTAGTTGCACGGTTATGACTTGTTAATTAGCTGGGCCATCAGTCTTATATTTTAGAATAGTATGCTCGTAGTTGGTGGTGTATTATTGGTGATGCTGGTTTCGATTAATTATTGTTCAGTTGCCTTTGTTCACCTCACCGCTGCTGAGTGATTTGGACAAGACAAGAGGATAATCAGTCTTACCTGTTCAAGACGACCGTCCATTGTTGAGGAGAAAATTGCTTGTCTTTGACAGATCGACATCTTGGAAGCGCCTGGTTAGGCCTGATACAGACATGGTTAACCTTTATAGATAATGATCTGAATTGTGTCGGAGGGGGTAAAAATTAAAACACCTGCAGTTACAAAAAAAAGCACTTAAAAAAAGTGAGCAAACAAAACAAATCAAAACAGAAAAAGCGCTGGTCGTGGACTCATGGTGCTGGTTTGAATTGTGTTTCTTTCTTTGCATCGAAGCTGTGGGAATGCAAAAAACAGAAACTAAGTATTATCTCTCGAGTGGTACGATCGAGTCACCTAATGCTCAACTGTGGGAGAGAACAAGCCAAAGGCCAATAAAGGAAGACGTACAGGTGAAGAAATGGAAATGGATTGGACACACCCTGAGGGGACCCCCGTCAAGCATCATCATCAGGCAGGCTTTATCATGGAACCCACAAGGAAAACGAAAGAAGGGAAGGCCAAAGATGACATGGAGACGAGCGGTACAAGCTGAAATTGAAAAAGCGGGGACATCATGGAAACAGATAGAAAAGGATGCTCAGGACAGGCTTCGCTGGAGTAATACTGTTGATGGCCTGTGCTCCACTGGGAATTAAAAAAGGGCAAGAGAGAGAAGTATTATCTCTCATCTACCTTTGTTGAATGTGATTTGCTCTGTCCTCTCTGGTTTTGATTATAATTTTTGTTGGTTGAATTTTACATATATTATTATTCCCCAAGGTCTCTATAGTTCTACTAGTTGTCCCATTCATTTCAGTTTGATTTTGGGGTTTTTATATCATTTTTTGGTTTTATCGGTTTGTCTCTGTCTTTTGGAGTTGGTGCTGAGAGGTGACAAGATTTGGGGTCAGGATTTTTTTTTGTAAGGACTTAGTTTTGGTTTTATCGGTTTGTCTCTGTCTTTTGGAGTTGGTGCTGAGAGGTGACAAGATTTGGGGTCAGGATTTTTTTTGTCAGGACTTAGTTAGATTTTTGGGGAATTCATTTCATTTGGGTTGGGCTTTTTTTTGGCCGTTTTCTTCTTTGCGTTCTTTTTCTCTGCGCTCTTCTTCTGCTCCTCCACCTCTTTCTGGTTTTTCTCCTTCTTTGCTTTTCCAGTAGTTTAGTATTGCTTCTAAGGTCTTTATGCAATAAAACAACCTTTCTCTTGCATTTTGTGAATATGGAAATTGGGATGCTCAACTTGTGATGGACTTTTTTGTGCAAATATGAATACTTCAATGAAATTATTAAGTCTCGTGACTTCTTTCGTTTGCTTATCCTCTAGAAAAAAATAATAATAGATACTCTTAGGAGACTTGGTCCTGTGAGTACAATATTGGATTTCTATGCACACTTCTTTTTTCTGCCAGTACATTTTGCTCTCTCTTTACTGTGTTTATTATTATCTGTCTTTGTTCCTTCCATATACTTTCCTCTCACCCCTATGTCAAGCTGTCTACCCTTGAAAAAATTCACTAATAATAATTGGTAGGTAGTTTATACGAGTACAAAAACAGTTTTAAAAAATATTTCCGTTTCATTTTAGTCGCTCATTGTCTTTGAATCATTCATCTCTCTCTGTCTGTCTGTCTGTCTATCTCTCT